TTTAAGTTTTAGTATCTTTGAGTTGAGTTGAGATGAGGTAAGTATGATTTTATTTTTGTATGATAAAGCTTATGCATGTGCTTTAGAGTTTTCCCTTACATACTCATGCTCTAAAACATATGCCTGTGCTAGCTTTAGAGTTTCCCCCTACATCTCAATGCATAGTCTGCTTGATTCCATTTGCTTTTCAGTTTGCTTAGGATGTTGTGGATTTTATACCGAATTTCATCTTAGTTATTAGAAGCTTCATAGATAGATAGTAGTATTTTGAGGAGTCTTTTTCATTTTCTTTGTTAAATGTTTTAAAGATTTGAGTTGCCTATTTTTGTCTAGCTGAATATTCTATTATATTCTGAGTTATTCATTTGAGACATTTGAGTTTATCTTATGTTGAGTAAGTCTTCAGCTTAGACTTCAGTCAGGCCAAGGGTTCGTTTGAGACCAACAATGGTACTCGAGTGTCGATCACGTTCGGGGTGTAGACTCGGCTCGAAGCGGGACAACATATATATATATATTTATATACATACATATATACGGAAAAGGGTCAAAAATACCCTTAAACTATCTGAAATAACTCATATATACCCTTAAACTATATTTTGGTTCAAAACTTACCTACTTGTCAAACTATTGGATCAAAAGTACCCTTCTAATTAATGGAAATTGTTAAATGCCATGTGGATGCCAAATGAATGCCACATGACACGCCAATAGATTTTCGCTGCCACATAGACTAAAAGGAAAAGGGTCAAAGTATCTTTAATTTATCTGAAATAGCTCATATTTACCCTTAAACTATATTTCATCTCAAAACTACCCTTTCCGTCAAAATATTGGGTCAAAAGTGACCTTCTTATTAGCGAAAGTTGTTAAATGCCATATGGATGCCACATTGCACGTTAATAGGGTTCCACTGCCACATTGACTAAATCCCTAAATCTTAATTACTCATTTCCCCCTCATTTTATTATTTTCCAAAAATGATTTTACCCCTTCTCCTCATTTCGCGACTAGGGTTTCACAATTTTCTTCGTCGCTGGTTTTCAAAGTGGATATTCTTGGTTGTAGCTGTTGACACCCAATTTTGACCCTCCACGATTTGATTAATTTTTAAAGCTTCTTCGATCATAAACAAATGAAAATAATTGATTTTATCTAATAGAAACAAAAAAAAATTCTGCCTTTCCCACATCGTTTCTCAAACAATTTTTCAATTTTGCAACAGTCCCACATCGGTATTTCATCCTTTTTGAGGATTTTTGGGTTCCTATATAAACCCACTTCATTCACTATTTTAAAGGAGGATTTTTGGGGAAAAGACCAAAGAGTACCCAGAAAATTTTGAGAATTTTTGGTTCCATAGTTCAAATTTTAAAGTGGTTTTTTTCCGAGTTGAGGCCGTGGAGTCGTCTCCTTCAAACTTGTAGTTTCGGTTCGCTGCCCAGAACCAGGTAATTTTTTTTTTCTTTCTTAGCCTTGTTTTATTTAATTTCCAGCTCTTTTATGCTTTTTGTTTATTATATGTGCTTAGCTTTATTTTAGTAGTCATGTGTTAGACTTCGGTTTGACCTTTTATTTTTAAGTAGTTAATAATGTTTATTTTGTTCCTGCTGTTCTACTTATTTTCTGAGATGTTTTTCTACTAATCTCCCAATTTCATGTCTTTATTTCTTCATGTTTCACATCTTGTGTTTCTTGACTAAAATTTAGATTTCATAGTTAGTAATAAAAGAGGATCCATTAAGCTAAGTCTTTCCTTATATATATTTATATACACATCCGGTTATTATTATTTTTTGAATATATGAAGTTGCCTTCTTTATAAAATTCCATTAATCGTATTGCTGGAATTTTCATTAGTTTATTGTTAATAATATTCAAGCTTCCCTTTAGTATACTAGTTGCTTATGTTACCAAGGATCTATATCCGTTTTAATATTTATTTGGATTCTCTGTTATAATAGTGCATAGGTTAAGATATTTTACTCAATACATAGAGCATTTTCCTATTTCGTTGGAGCCAAGACAGTGTTTTTTTTTGTTAGTAGTTTTGGTTATTTGGTTTGTTTGATAGCAATTTGTGTTTTGTGTATTTTTGCTTGATATTAGTTCATTTTTATCTCCGTCTTGTTCAAGACACATGTTATTAGTTCATCGTTCAAGGTGTTAATTCTCTTTTGTTTGTTTGATTGCATGTGAAATCACTTTCGAGTCCCCATGGACTTCATTCCCATATCTTGCACTTCTTCCTTGAGCCATAAAGGCTCAAAACTTCCTCCTCGAGTCGTAGACTCCTTTAAAACAGGTGTACAGGTTGAAAAACAGCAGAAATGAACCGCTGGAAATTGTTTACTGGTTAATCAGAACGTGGAAAGTTGCTGGAAATTAATTTACAAGTGTTGAAGATGATGTATACTTGCTGTATACATATTGTCTACACTGATATACAGGTTGTAAGGTGTACAGGAAAAAAATCAAAATCTGGGTTGATAGAAGTCCAGATTCACTTCTGAAAAGAAGCTTTCAACTTTCGAAAGTTGAAAAACATGTTGATATACAACCTGTATACACTGATATATCGAGACACTATACCTTAAATAGGTGTAAAAAATAGAAGAGCAGTACAGATAGAAATACGCTGATAATAGGGGAAATACGGGAAAATATCGAGAAATACATATTCAAACAAATACAGGGATTAAATAGTCCAAAATGGACTGGATACGCACATTATACATCAATTTGTATACCCTATCTCTTTTTCAGGAAATGGGATAGGGCCCTTTTCAGCAAAGGATTTTAATAGGCCCAAAGGCCAATTTGTTTTGCAGGATCTGAATTGTTGAAAAGGGCCCAAACTTAAATAGTTTAATATAGAACAGGTGGGCCAAAGCCTAATTGAATGAATTTGGGCAATCAAGCCCAAGTTCAAATATTTTTCCCTCTCTATTTATTATTTGTTTGAATTAACTAATTTTTGGTAGGAATTTAATAATCTCCTAAAGGGCAACCATTTTTTTACTATTTTAAATTTTACTATTTTATTTACTTATTTTGTTTATCACCTTTTAGTTTATCCCCTTAAGTTAATTCCTTCTAATTATTTCCCTGTGGATGTAAAAAATGAAATAAAAAATATTAAAACACATTTTCTCTTTACTTAGTTAAAACTTTTATTTTAAAAGTCATTTAGTCAAATCGACGGTCAACTGCAAGTTAGCGGGCATCCCGAGGGCCCAACACCTTTTCGGGATGTACATTGAACTTCGAACCTTTTTTAATTGATTTAATCTGTTTTGAATCTTTTAAAAATTTTAACTTTTTCTTAGTTTTATCAAAAATTAAGTCGCGACTTCGTAATTTGGAAAGTCGATTTTTCTTAAATAATAAGATTAATTGATTTTTCCTAAACCTAGTCATCTTCGCACTATTTTTAAACAAAAGAATATTCAAACATAAAACAGAAATGGCGACTCCGCTTGGGATTAATTAAGTTCTAACCTTAAGATTTGACTGTTTGATTATTTGTTTCAATCGTTAAAATTTTATTTGTGCCGAATGCGTTTAATTTTTCATAAAATGTTGCATTTCATGGCATAATCCCGCCAAACGTCAGGTAGCGTGCTTTAGGAAAATGAAAGTTACGTGGCTTTCCACGGCTTTCTCCGAAATTACACAAGAATTCATTTGGAAGTATCAAATAAATAGTTGAAACGCGGTCATCCGACGTTGTTTGGTAGCTTCACCCCGATGTTTGTCCGACTTGGGTAATTGTCAATTTGAAAACTATTCTAGTAAACTAACTTAGAGCTCAACCAAAACCCTTTTAGGCGCATTAACCTAAGATGACTCAATACCCAATGCGTATGAGTCCATTAGAAGACTACCTTGAGTCTAATTGGCCCGCGGTTAATATAAGATGATCATCCAATTATTTGTTAAATTTGAAGGATATGTATGTTGATTTGTAAGTACCATTGTCCTTTTGGGTTGGTTTTTATTTTATTTTATTAGGTAGTTTCTTTGTTTAATTCAAGTGAAGATACTCCTCATCAAGAAGTAATTCAAAAGCATCAAGAAGTTTGGGAATGAAGATTCATATGGAAGCTTAGCTTAGTTATCATTGTACCCCTACGTGGGACTAATATTTATTTCTCTTTCCTCTATTGTGTATCCCTATTTATTTTATTTATAAGTTTTGTATAAATATTTTTGGACAATGGAATGATTTACAAATGATATACACATCCTTCAAACGGTCGGCTTACTTTTGACTTAAAAGGTCACATGTATGTTAGGAGGCGTTATATATTGTTTGTGTTAATTGTTACAAATTTTGTTTCATTTGTGCTTGTTTGACCTATGTGTTTATATACATATGTTTTCGCTTTAAGCATAATTGGTCTATTATTCTACTCCAATGTTTTAGAACATCAATCCAATTTTCAAACCTTCCAAAATACTATAACTCCATTACCAAAATACGTTCAAAATTACTCCAGAACTTTAAAAAATTATTAGGTCATCATTCAAATTCACGTTGACCTCTTCTTGAAAATTATTTTTCACACCTACTAGCCGGTGTTACTAAACATTCCTTCAATTTCAAGCAAATATCAAGACCTTTTGTTTCTACGAAAGAGATTTCCAATTGAACCAAACCCTTTTTCTTTTGTCTAAATTTCAGTTCACAATAAACAATCTTTTCCATTTGATCATTTTCTAGAAACTCATCTTCATCGAATTTTGGACTAGTTTGTTTAAAACAAAACACATGTTATTTGTTTTATGTGTTACTTTGGTTGATTATTATGATTAATGGACTAACTTTCTTATTTTTGAGTTGTCTCAGAAGGAGAGACTGATTTGTGTTGGTAATCAAACTTGCTCACTTCACCAAAGTATCCGCTGGCAGAACATTTACACGGTCTAAGGTCAAGGGAATCTCTATAGACTCTTCATTTCTTACTTGGACTACTAAAAAGAATCGTTCAAAAATGGATTCCACTGTTCACACTGTTGCTTCGTCTGAAATGATCCCCACTTCATCGATCGCGGCCAATCCTAGTGCCTCGGTAGCAACAGAATCACCTATGGAGGTCATTCCTCGTCTAGAGTGACAAATTAGCACACTGAATTTCCTGGTAGCTCAATACCAAGCTGCTTCTCTGAATCAACCACCTGATGCTCGCGAAAGGGGGCCCATGCCACCTGTATATCCTACTTCGAGTGATTTTCAGCAAGGAGATTACTTTGCCGCCTTTCAACAAACTCAATGTGCCTCACTCTCTAATTCAACTCAGGGTACTTCCCTTGTATACACATTTGCTCCCCCAAAAGCTCAAACAGTAACACATCACACTCCGCCAGTGTACACTTATGTCACTGCTGCACCCGTTACCAAGGCTCCAGAGTTTCACCGCCCAGATGTTAATCACTATATTGAAATTGAGGGGGACGAAAAATCAATTGATGCTAAAATGATGAATAAGAAGATGAAAAGTTTGGAGGATGCTATGAGAGGTCTTTGTGGGTTCGATAGTAGCCAGAGTGTTAGATACAAAAATTTGTGCACATTTCCTAAGGTTGAGTTGCCACCCGGTTACAAGATTCTAAAGTTTGAGAAGTTTAGTGGATCAGGAAATCCATTCTTTCATTTGAAAATTTACTGCGAAAAGTTTATTGGCGTTGGAAACAATGAAGGGATAAGAATCAAGATGTTCAACCAAAGCCTAACTGGAAAAGCATTGGAGTGGTACTCTAAGCAAGATGTGACAAAATGGCGTACTTGGGATGATCTGGCGAATGCTTTTGTGGATCACTACAAGTTTCATGTTGAAATTGCTGCCGATAAAATTTCTATTACCAAACTGAAACCCAAGTCGACTGAATGCTTGAGAATATGCCATTCGTTGGAGAGAAGAAGCTGCCATGGTGCACCCACCTATGGAGGAATCAGAAATGATCACTTACTTCATTCAAGCTCAAGAATCAGAATACTATGAGCGAATGGTGACTATGGGTGGAAAGACATTTGCTGAAGTTATTAAGGCTGGAGAAATGATTGAAGGCGGTCTCAAAATTGGCAAAATAAGGAGTTACGCCTCATCTCAATTTGCTAATAGAACCTATCAAACTGGTTCTTTTGGAAAGAAAAAGGAGAAAGAAGTTATGATGATAACGACCCGAGGAGCTGCATCATATAACCGTCAACCACCTCCAGGCTATCCTAATTCACAATACTATGTTTGCAACAATCAAGCAACATTTCGATCTCCACGACCAATGCAAAATCCCCAAAACAATGCACCTCGTCCTAATTTTGAGAAAAAACCTACTAGAGTCTTCACCTAATTGAGCGAGACACGGAGTCAACTTTTTGAGAGACTGAAAGAGGCGGAAATACTTCATCCAGTGGAAACCAAGACTGTGAATACTTCGGCCGAGTGGTATGACCCAAGTAAGCGTTGTGATTATCATTCAGAGGTTGTTGGTCATGATACCGAGAAGTGTATCACTCTCAAACACAAAATTCAAGATCTAATTGACAATGAGGTGGTAAAACTCGCTCAAGCTCCACCGAATGTGAATACCAATCCGTTACCCAAGCATAATGGGTAGTGGTTGACATGACACGTTGCAAAGAAGAAGCAAGTTTCCTGAAGGTCGCACTTTTGGCAGCTTTTAGTCTTGCATTTAGAGTTTGTTATTTTATTTCTCTATAATCGCACTTTTATCGCTTTATTGCTTTGTAATCATTTGTTTGGTTTAGATTTCCCTTGTAATGAACTACGTCTGACCTGAATTCTCAAGAATGAGATACGTAGGCGGCCTATGTCGGCTTCGGTCACCCCTTTATCCCTTTTAGTGTTTTCTTATGTTGAACTACGTCTGACCTGAATTCTCAAGAATGAGATACGTAGGCGGCCTATGTTGGCCTCAGTCATTTTCTTAGTTAAATTTTTTCTAAACCTGTTAATCCTCGAGAGTTGGAACTGCGTTTGACCTGATTCTTGCTCAGCGGGATACGTAGGCGCCGCACCGGCTCGGTCATGTTCCCCGTAAGTTTTTCATTTCTCTTTATAATGAAAACTGGGGAATATTTTGAGAGGATCTCAAAATTCATCAGAAAGAGAAATTTGTTTAGTCCGGAATCAAGGATCACTTCAGAGTTGCAACTGGCGCAGAATTTTTGAGATTCACTCAAAAATTCAACTGAAAACTACAGAAAGTTCAAAATTTTTGTTATGTTTTAAACCGGGGCAGAATTTTTGAGGAGGTCCTCAAAAATTTCATCAAGTGGCATTTCAAGACCAAACAAGTTTGTAATCCATAAGGCAAAAGAGCATCAGGATGGCAAGACAAAGCCAACACGAATCATTCTCTCAAAACTAAGAATTTTTCTTTGGATGCAGGAATTATAAAGTTACAACACATCATTAGAGCTACAGTGGCCTCATCATGACTCAGATGATTTCTACTCTTGCTCATCTTTTAAAATTTTCATTTCAATTCACTGTGACTTACACATTTTATATTTTTACCAGATGGGATAGCTTGGCGCAAGGGTGATGATCATAAAATGTTATTCAAACAAATATAAGCTGAAAAAACTTTATTTGAGAACTTATCTTTTACGTTGATAATTTTTTTTACTAATTACATTTGAGCTTTGCAGGTGTCGTCAAAGTTGGAGTCGAAATTTCAAGAGATCCTTTCAATTTTTAAAAGATCTGCCCAGACATTCACCAGACAAAGGACACACACTAAACCTTATCCAAGAATTTTATTATGAACCAAATCAAACTAATTTTATCCTCTATTTTATCTGAAGAGTTTTCTTTCTCCATTTTTCAAATCTCTCGTCCTTTTTAAAGGCAATTTTTTTTCATTCTTTTTAAAAAAATTCCTTTAAGTTTCAGGTTCAAACTACGTCAGACCCGATTTCTTGTTTCAGCAAGATACGTACGCAATCCTATATAAGGATTCGGTCTTCCTAATGTTTCAAATTACAGGCCCCAAAGAAAACTGGGTCATGTTTTTGAATTAGTCATTCTTGTGTCTTACAATTTATTTCAATGAAGTACCCTTGGACTGGAAACAGGGGCAACTTTTGAAATAGTTCAAAATTATCCAAATCTTCGTTCAACTTCAAGTTTCAAAGGTTACCTTTATCAACTCAATCTTCTCTTTACATGAAATTCCAGATTCAAAGTAGGGACACATATCGCGTGAGATCCCTAGTTTGTCTTAAAAGTCTCATTTCAAAAGTTAAAAGTTATCGATTTGTTCTTCCAGAATCTCGCATTCTCTATGGATGCCAGACTGTCGTGACTCATTCAAAAGTCCTGACATTTATTAATTTTCCTGTTCTTGTCTAACAAAATTTTCATGAGCGCATCGACGACAGAGTTGTAATCACATCTAAAGAAATTACCAACTTCACAAACTACAAAAGTTGCTAATATTACTCTGTTATAACCTGATTCTCTGGTGTTGGAGCATCACTTCCTTCAACGTTAAACCTTATTTATTATTGGAGAGTCACTTCCTTCAACGTGACACATTATTTATTATTGAATCGTCACTTCCTTCAACGTGACACATTAACTTATTATTGGAGCGTCACTTCCTTGAACGTGACATGTTAAATTACTACTGGAGAGTCACTTCCTTCAACATGACATGTTCAATTATTATTGGAGAGTCACTTCCTTCAACGTGACACGTTAAATTATTATTGGAGAGTCACTTCCTTCAATGTGACACATTAGTTATTATTGGAGCATCACTTCCTTCAACGTGACACGTTAAATTATTATTGGAGAGTCACTTCCTTCAACGTGACATGTTAAATTATTATTGGAGAGTCACTTCCTTCAACGTGACATGTTAAATTATTATTGGAGAGTCACGTCCTTCAACGTGACACGTTAAATTATTATTGGAGAGTCACTTCCTTCAACATGACACGTTAATTTATTATTGGAGCGTCACTTCCATCAACGTGACACGTTAAATTATTATTGGAGAGTCACTTTCTTCAACGTGACACATTAATTATTATTGGAGAGTCACTTCCTTCAACGTGGCATGTTATATAATATTATTGAATCACCACATAGTTCAAACTGACATACTATTTTGAACTGTCACCTCGTTCAAGAGATTAACACTTGAAAATTGGATCGTCATCTCCTTCAGTATGACATGTTATACCAGGTTTGCACAAATTATAGTGGTATATGCGTTACATTTTTCACTGACAACTTTTTCCAGACTTTCCAATACATAACGTGGACCACGTCAACCAGGACGCTGCACAACATGGAACTTTTTCTTAGCAGTGAACTGGGGCATAGTCCAAAGAGGAATATCAAACTCTTAGGACGCGAGTTGAGGAACGACTTCCACCACAATCAAACCACACCCCTATCCTAAGGCATGTTTGTATTTTATTGGGTTTATTAGTTTCAGTTTCGCATTCAGTGAAAATTTGAACTCTTACCCAAGGCAATTTTTCAAATTCGGGTGACAATACACCTAGAGATTCAGAAATTATGTCCATGTAAATTCTTACCTATAGGTGCGAAGGGCCCCGCCTTCACAGTTGAGATGGTTGCAAGCCTCTTTTCCACGCTCAATTATTTTGTCACTCATCCTTAAGCTAATGGTTAAATCTGCATAAGAGATTTTCTTTTCAATTGATTAAGTCGAACTACAAGCAGTCTGGTTCTCAAGTTTTGGGATATGTAGGCAGGATCAATGTTGAAAACTCGACTGTACCCCAATAATTCTATCATCACTCTGTTCTCAAGATTTTCGGTCTCTCCATACTTCGACACTGAAATAGCTTTTACATTCTTTATAAATCATGCTTAAAATCAAGCGTATCGAACTACAAGTGGCCTGAATTCTCATATAGCCTGAGATATGTAGGAAACCCACTTCCGGGGCTCGGCCAAAATTCCTAAAGTCCGTACCAAAAGCTCTTTTTTTGTAAGGTGAAAATGTGGTTGGTCAAAATTGGATATGTCAATTTCATTTGCCTCGGATTTCTTTCTTCAATCTGAGTCAAACCAGGGACAACTGTTGACACCCAATTTTGACCCTCCACGATTTGATAAAATTTTAAAGCTTCTTAGATCTTAAACAAATGAAAATAATTGATTTTATCTAATAGAAACAAAAAAAAATTCTGCCTTTCCCACATCGTTTCTTAAACAATATTCAATTTTGCAACAGTCCCACATCAGTATTTCATCCTTTTTGAGGATTTTTGGGTTCCTATAAAAATCCACTTCATTCACTATTTTAAAGGAGCATTTTGGGGGAAAAGACCAAAGAGTACCAAGAAAATTTTGAGAATTTTTTGTTCCATAATTCAAATTTTAAAGTGGTTTTTTTTGGTTTTTTTCAAGTTGAGGCCGTGGTGTCGTCTCCTTCAAACTTGTAGTTCCGGTTCGCTGCCCAAAACCAGGTTATTTTTTTTCTTTTTTAGCCTTGTTTTATTTAATTCGCAACTCTTTTATGCTTTATGTTTATTATATGTGCTTAGCTTTATTTTAGTAGTCATGTGTTAGACTTCGGTTTGACCTTTTAGTTTTTAGTAGTTAATAATGTTTATTTTGTTCCTACTGTTCTACTTATTTTCTGAGATGTTTTTCCAGTAATCTCCCAATTTCATGTCTTTGTTTCTTCATGTTTCACATCTTGTGTTTCTTGACTAAAATTTAGATTTCATAGTTAGTAATAAAAGAGGATCCATTAAGCTAAGTCTTTCCTTATGTATATATACACACACATCCGGTTATTATTATTTTTTTGAATATATGAAGTTGTCTTCTTTATAAAATTTCATTAATCGTATTGCTGGAATTTTCATTAGTTTATTGTTAATAATATTCAAGCTTCCCTTTAGTATACTAGTTGCTTATGTTACCAAGGATCTATATCCGTATTAATATTTATTTGGATTCTCTGTTATAATAGTGCATATGTTAAG